AAGTTCTAGGTTATATCCATAGATGGTCCTGAGTCTTAATGTCTGCCACAATTTAAGTACCCAGCACCTCTGTCTTCCTGTGCAGGAGTCCTGGCTCCTTCCATCCTGTACTCTGTGGTTTCAACCCCTGTTCTAATGCTGCCTAGGATGGAGGCCTTAGCGTCAGCAGGGGTGTCCATCTACAGATAAACAGGAAGTGTAGCTCCTGTGCAGATGAGCACTCTTCAGATTGTAACAAGAAGGAAATGCTCTCCTCTGTTAACACCTGAGTGGATTTGGAGGCATGCCAAGAGACGTGAGGGAGATGCAGAGAGAGGGGTTCCACAGTTTCCCTTAGGGTGGCATCGAAGGCAAACAGGCTCAGCAGCAGGGGCAGAGTGCTCCCTGGGGGGGGTCAGGGTGTGACCCGGCTCTGGCTGGATTCGGACTCTGCAGATCTGCTGCAGAGCAGCCTAACTAGAGTGGCCACATGTTGTGTGTTCCAGAACTGGTGGGAATTTCATGTGTCCCTTACAAAATGACAACAGGGGAAGCAATGTGGTAGCTTTGTTAATTTAATCACCTCAAGTTGTACAGTGTATGTACAGTGTCACTTTTTACCTCCTAAACACACATGGTCAGAATTTGTCAATTTACAGTATTCTTAAGAGAATGTGGATCTTAGACTTTAATAACCATCAAGATTATTGAAAATAGCCCCTCTAAGACTGCTTTTCTCAAAGCTGCCAGTCCCACCATGCTGCTCTTTCTGTGTCCTAAAGTGGTGTGCCTTCAAATATGGGCATCTTGCAAACCGAGCGACCCCATATTTTGAAGCTTTTCTAGCACCTTTTGTGAGAGCAGAGACGTGATCTTTAATTTTTTGGCTCTTTTCTCCGATCATTCCTTAAGGGGTTATGCCCGTGGCAACTTGATAAAATGTTTAAGTGCACATTCATTTAGCTTGAACCCTTTCAGAAAAGCTGACATTCCCTGGTTAAATTAAATGGGTCACAAAGCACCCAAAAGCCATAAACCTGGGGAAAGGACAGGCAGGGTTAAGGAAGGGAGATGAGAGAGGGTGGGAGAGGGAGGACGGTCAGAATACACGTACACATGAAGGAGATTGAATAGCAACAAAATTAATAAAGATATAGGCTGTAGAGTAAATACACTCTGGGAAATACGAGTAACCAATTCGGGACTTTAAGCGAGACATACCCTTGAGTCATTTCTTGCCACAACTGTAATACATTTTACTGTACTTACACCTTTATTGTTCTTTGAGCAATCTTATTATGAAAACTTGAGTATCAGGGGAAGGCTATTCAGGGCTCATACCTAAACCCTCCGTGTCATCAGCATTTTACCCAAGCGCAGGAGCGCACCAGCCTGTGAGAGCCGAACAAGCAATTCCCGCAGGAATGCACCGTACGGAGCTCAGTTTCTGACAGACAGGTTACTTATTAGGAGATACGAGGCGGGTAGGGAGCGGTAATACGTGTACATAGAGGGAAGAAGTGGGTGGGAGCAGGGGGACGGTGGCAGAGCACAGAGCTCCTCATGTGCTGCACAAAGCATGTCCAGTCAGAAGTTAACCTGCTTTGGTGGAGTTTTGTAAAAGGATGTTTACGCGTGTTTGACAGTTTAGCGTCTGGTGAATCTGAAAGGCATCACATATCCACGGTATGTGCAGCCTGCTGCGCAGCCGTGTGTCCGCCAAGCAGTTACATGCGGCTTCGTTCACCTACGTCTAACGAGAGCCTTCTCACATCCAGGTGGGGTCACCCCTGTTCCACACACAGGGGACTGGATGAGGCATGAAAACCATCCAGGTTGGAGTGTGAGCATAGACCGCAGCCCCTGGCTAGACAGATCACATGACCAAGCCTCCATCCCAACGCAGTGGTGCTGGACTGTAATCACCCCACCTGGGAGGCGCAGGCTTCTGAGGCCCTGTTGGAGGACAGTCAACAGTTGCCCTTGAGTCACTCTGCACAGAGAGCGCGTTGGTTAGGTTTCCTCTCTTGCTGAGGGCCTCACAAGTCCCCTTTAAGTCATAGGCTCAGTGTTGCGTTGCTTCATCCAACCAGCGTTCAGGAGGACTTTCATACTTCTGAAGTTTTTGTACTACTAGGGAACCAGTAAATTGGGAGGATGGGTATGAGGGAAGTCAGTTTATGTGTGTGAAGAACAAAGTATGAGTGAGTGCATACGTGTGTATGTGTGTGTGTGTGTGTGTGTCCATAATGAAGTCCATTACTTTACATGTTAACTTAATAAGTTTTAAAACTATCCAGTTTTCTGGGTCCTGAACTGAACATAGTATAGGCGAGCCTTTCCTCTAAGAGGGGCCATGAAATGTAAACATGACATCATGGGATGGGTTTTTTAAGGGAGCCACAGGAAGCCTGCTCTGTGGGAGCTTAAGCTTGGTATCCCCAGGGCGTTCCCCTGTGCCCTCAACCATGTTAAGCCTTTAGAATTAGAGGTCACTTGACTCTTCTTTCCATTCCCTAAACTCATTGCTACCCAACCTGTAAAATACAGCCGGACACTTGCATCGGGCAGGAGACAGCTTCTGAAGGCTGTTGAGCAGCAGAAATGGCTTCTTCGGAGTGAGGGCCAACGAGTTGATCTGTACCTTGTATGTCATTTCTAACTGACGCTTTCCTTACCCATTGCAGAAGGTGAAGAATACAGTGAAGGTTAAAAGGCTAGTCCTTTTTCAGATCTTTCCGTTAGAAATTGAATTAGTCATTCTTTCTGTCGTTTCTTAAACTTTTGTTTATTAAACCTTTGAGGAGGGGTCTAGGAGGCTGCTTGGGGGGGGGGGGGTAGGTGGAGCCAGGGTCTCAGAGATCCCTGGCTGATGTTGATCGTCCTGCCTGCACTCCCCAAGTGCCGAGACGTCAGGTGAATTTATTTGTGTTTTCCTACATGTGTTTGCCGTGTGTGCCTGCTGTCTCAGGAGGTTGGAAGGGGGCAGCAGATTCCCTGAAACCATAGTCGTGGCATGTAGCCACCATGTAGGGTGAGGAATAGAAGTTGGCTCCTTTTTCTCCAACCCCCACCCAGATATATCTTAAGCCTTGATAATACAGAATACCATATTTATAAATGGGTTAGCTGTTTGTCCAACTTTTGAACTTTATTTGTGGATAATTTTGAAGTTTGTTTATAGAATGTAAAATGTATTTCGGTGGTTCATATGCCACAGACTTGAAAGCTTTGGAAGACTGTCAACGAAAATTATTCTAACAAAAGAACGTAAATAAGAAAGAGAATTTCAGGCCAATCTCCCTTATGAACATTGATGCAAAAATACTTAACAAAATACTTGCAAACCGGATCCAAGAACACATCAAATATATTATCCACTATGACCAAGTAGGCTTCATCCCAGGTATGCAGGGGTGGTTCAATATACGGAAATCCATCAATGTGATCCACCATATTAACAAACTGAAAGAAAAAAAACCACATGATAATCTCCCTAGATGCTGAAAAAGCATTTGACAAAATCCAACATCCATTCATGTTTAAAGTACTGGAGAGATCAGGGATACAAGGCACATATCTAAACATAGTAAAGGCGATATACAGCAAGCCTATAGCCAATATCAAACTGAACGGAGAGAAACTTAAAGCAATCCCACTGAAATCAGGGACAAGACAAGGCTGCCCACTCTCTCCATATCTCTTCAACATAGTGCTGGAAGTCCTTGCTAGAGCAACAAGACAGTCGAAGGAGATCAAGGGGATATAGATGGGAAAGGAAGAAGTCAAATTATCACTATTTGCAGATGATATGATAGTATATATGAGTGACCCCAAAAACTCTACCAGGGAACTCCTACAGCTGATAAACACCTTCAGCAAAGTGGCCGGATACAAAATTAACTCAAAAAAATCAGTAGCACTCCTGTATACAAAAGACAAAAGGGCTGAGAAAGAAATTAGAGAAACAACACCATTCACAATAGCCACAAATGACATAAAGTACCTTGGTGTAACCCTAACCAAGCAAGTCAAAGACTTGTATGAAAAAAATTCCAAGTCTCTGAAGAAAGAATTAGAGGAAGATATGAGAAGATGGAAAGATCTCCCATGCTCATGGCTTGGCAGGATTAACATAGTAAAAATGGCCATCTTACCAAAAGCAATCTACAGATTTAATGCAATTCCCATCAAATTGCCAACACAATTCTTTACAGACCTGGAAAGAAAAATTCTCAACTTCGTATGGAATAACAAGAAACCGAGAATTGCTAAAACAATCCTCTACAATAAAAGATCTTCTGGAGGTATCTCCATCCCTGA